CCCACCCCCACCCCCACCCCCACCCCTACTACTACTACTACTACTACTCTTACTACTGCTACTACTACTACTACTACTACTGCTGCTACTTCTACTACTACTGCTACTGCTACTACTACTACTACTACTACTACTACTGCTGCTACCGCTACTGCTACCACCACGACTACCACTGCTACAACTAGTACAACAACTACTACTGCTACCACCACTACCACCACTACCACCACCACCACCACTACTACTACTACTACTACTACTACTACTACTAAGTACTACTACTACTACTACTACTACTACTACTACGACTACTCGTGACAACACAAGACGAGCATCATCCACGTTCCCATCACTGACACTCCCGACAATAACATGGCAGTCGGCCTAGTCGGGGAGCTAGGATGGTTTGGGTTGGGGGTTTGTTCGAAGAACAGTCCAAGCAGCCGTGCTTTCGGGGCTTGTAGCAATGTTGGCGCATGCCGCGTGCACACAAGTTCGGGCTAATATGCCTGGATGTCAACAAAAGAACGGCTCGTTTGCGGCAAGAATGACACAAAAACCAGAGGAAGAGATAGACGATATTGTTGTTGTTGATGATGATGGTGGTATTGATCCCCTGCCGCAGTCAGGTAGCAGTAGTCGTCGCCGTAGTAGTCGTCGTAGTAGTACTAGCATTATTATTATTATTAGTAGTAGTAGTAGTAGCAGTACATTGTGCCGGCAATTCAGAACAATTGTGTGACGGAACCATCTTTGCAATCTTGCTGAGGAGGGGAGCAAGATTGCCAATCAGTCTTGGCAATCTCGGTCATCTTGCCCCACTTGCCCCACTTGCTCGCCAACTAGTTTACCTTGTGGAGACCGAGACTGCAAGATTGCTGGCAATGTTGCTCCTCGCCTTGCAATGTTGGTCTAAAAGGTAAACTCGTCGGCGAGACCAAGATTGCAGGATTTCCCAAATAATTGTTCTAAATTCCCGGCTAGCCCTCAGACCCCCCAAGCTCACTTCACAGTGCTCCGAAGTCGTCGTGGTAGGCGCCTGACGCGGGCTCCGACCATGCGCGCCGGCTCTTCGGGATGGCCATGAGCCAGGGACCTGGTTTCGGATTTTGGGACGTAGGGCTTTGGGCTTTTAGGGTTTATTATACTTTTAGGGTTTAAGGGTTGATTCAGAGTTTATTTGAAGCCTGAAAACCTGCCGGTTCTACGGGCTTTTTTTCTTACGATTTATATAAGCAACATATGCAAGCGGCATTTTTCGGGGGCTTCACGGTTCAGGGTTGGCGGCTCAGTTCACGGTCTCGGCGCTTTCAGATTGAACGTTCTTTTTCATGGGTTTCTGTTCGGAAGCGGGCTTGAGTTGTAGGGTTCGGGATTTCGGGTTTGATGTAGGGTTCAGGTTAGTGAATAGAACCCGGAAGTCTATCCATGGGGACTTGTGCAGCTACAGCTACACCCTGAAGACTTCAAGCCCGAGAACAGCAGTGAAAACCCTAAACCC